TTTTATTTGAGAATCTGTATTGATATAGACTACCTATATTAGAAAAGCTGAATAAAAATAAAATATACAAAAAAACAATGAACTGGCTTCTTATCCTCAAGATCGAAATGTTCATTGAACATCTAGTAATACTTCAATGTACAGTATTTTTTTCAACCTTCAGTTTGATCACTCAATCCAGTTATTTGATCAAGACAAATTGTACTGTCAAGTGTTCAATCAATGATTGGACAAACTGTTGAAAATGATGATATCAAAATGACGTTCATATTTAACCAATGGCCTAACAGATGTAAAAAATATTTTTATATTCTAATAAAATAATGTTTAGTTATATGGGCATCAGCTCCACGTCTATCGTCTTTTAAAAATATAAAATATATGCAAAATACATTTTAATTCAAAATCAATTGCTGGTTTGATCATTTGAGCTATACGATTCATTTCATCTAGATCCAATTCTAGGAAACTTTGTAAAGGATACTTGGTAACGTAACCTAAACATGTGATTTATATATCTATATATAGAGATAGATATCTGTACAGCGAATAGCTTATTTATGAAATAATCAACCTAGATAAAGTTTTCCTTTAACAACGTATAGTAAACCGATATCATTAACAGTGAGAGGCATATTTCATATCTATAGACAAAATAAAATTCATTTAACTGCTGATACATGATAAGTTTCACGCCATTTTTTTTTCTTTCCTAAGAATCATAATAAATATCCAATGTTTGACATGAATATATTTGTTGGAACAATAATCATCATGTTTAAAAAAAAGAGAAATAGAAGCGAAAACATAAAAACGATAAACAATAAATTTTGTTTCTTCATATATAGATCTGTATGCACAAGAAAAAAAAATGTTAAAACAAATAACACAGATCTTCTTCATGCTTCATTCAACATTGAAATGATTTTTTTTCTCGTATATCTCTTATTTGTTGATTTTCGATGAAGATCATCCTCGATTTCATGGACATTATCAAAAAGATTACCATTATCTTTATCAGTTGTGTGATCAATATGAAATTATTTAATATGAATATTAGCAAGCACAATAATACAATCAGCTTCCTGATCATCATTAACTGGTACAGCATCACGTTGTTCAATTTACTAAAATTCAAAGGACAAAAAATTGTATTTTATTTCTATCAATACGAATTTACTATACTAAAAAATTGATTAAGTTGAACATGCACTTGATATATCATCAATGATATTTGAAAAATATACAAACATATTTATTGAATTATCTAATGGAAATCAATATAAGTTAATTTATTCTGATTATCAATATAAAAGAACATCAAATCAAATAAATTCTAATTTAAATTCAAAAACATGAATTAAGTAAATATTCACATTAAGATTTATATTCACTTATTTGGAGAATATATGCGCTAGCTACATCTATTTATTCATAAACTACAAATGATCTTATTGGTTTATTTCATCTACTTGTTTCTTCCTTTTCTTTTATTCATGATT